AACCAGCAAATGTTACATAAATAAAACAGAAAATAGTAAGTCTCTCCCTTCCTCCAATCAATATGCCTAATGAACATATTCTAAATCATAAGATGTTACAACTAGTTTCCCAGGGAAGGGGCGCCTTGGAAGCATTATGTGCACATGCCATTCATGGCTACTTGCCTCCTTGCCTCCTTCCTGGAGGCAGTAGTTTCCACAAAACAAGCTGGAAATGCTCAGATGCACTTCCTAATGCACTTCCAATGTCACCTGGGGCCTTTCTTCTGACCCAGACTACTTCCTGTCATAGAAGGAAGAGGGGACAAAATACCACACCAAGCAAAACTCTCAATATCTGACAGACATGATACAGCTTTTGGGCTCATTGAGTACTGTACACCCACCAGACCTATTACACTTTCTGAGTTATTTGACAGAACCTTGAAAGAAAGAGTGAATGCCTTGAGAGAAAGGGTGGCTACATCTTGTGGGATTGTCAGGAGAAGGTTGTACACTGTGCACAAAAGCAAGCCCAATTCCAGTTGTCCCTGGAGAATCTTCCCTACCTCTCGTGAACTCCTCTGACTCTGTCCTGGAGCCTACTAACACTAAAACAGGCTTGCTTTTCACTACCTATTTACATACAGAGATGGGTGCATCACATGGATATACACAAAGGGCTATGACAGCAAGCAGCAGAATCAGAAGAGTGGAAACCCAACCCCAGCACAGCACAACCGCCAATCTGCCAATGGGAAGTGCTGCCTCCTCTTCTCCAATAAAATCCTCTACTTAGTGGGCAGGGCTCCTTGAGATTGACCTCCCTAGTCTTTGAAATCAGCCTTTCCTGAGGGTGGCCCAAAAGAAAATGTTTTTTTATTATTGTTTGTAAGACACCGTTAGCATCTGGTTTAATCATTCAATAAAAACATTACAAGTGGATCAAGACACCACAGCCATTGGCGCAATGATATTTGGGCTTGCATGTGCTGCTCCGGCCTTCTCTACCCACCTCAGGACACACAACAGACAGGCAAATCTGGGACTCAAAGAAACCAGGGGACAGTGTAGGATGAGTGAGACACATCCAGGAGTTAGTGACAAGGCTGGGAGTGAGGAACACATGGTGCAATGGATCCTAAATCCATCCCATGGCTCCAGGGAGGCTTCGGCTCCTTGGCTGTCCTCTATTCCTCCAACTCCCAAGTATATACTGGCAGGATGCTAAAGTGTCCTCCATCTTCCCTGAGAAGCTGGGGCAAACTGGAATGGGGATGAAGGGAAAGAAGGCAAAAGTAGGGTCTCTTCAATTAACAAGTCCTCCCAGCACCAGCCAGGTTCCATGAAAACCAAAGATAATGGCCAAGTGGGAGGAGAAAGAGAGGGAGGAAAAGGAACCAGGAAGGCCATCAAGCAGTTGTAGCTCCTCTATATGTTCCTGTGCCTGTACTGTTGTCTGTCTTATGAAGAAGAACCCCCCCAACACACACACACACCCTCCCCATCTGCTGACAAAAAGTTCCAAAGCCCCCAATAACCCCCAAAATGGTTTTTCCTCCTTTTGGGAAGTAGAGGGTGCATGGTGGTCTCTGTCTTTTTTCCCAAGCTAGAGTTAGGGAGATGACAGATGAGCAAGATCAGCCTCAGGAGACTGGCAAGAAGGACAGCACTGGGGCTTCAAGCCACAGTGTAAAAAGGCTTGTCGGGTGTGCTGGCTTTGGCATCCCCAGTGGCTGCCTTGCAGATGACATTGTTCCTGTGCTTACAGAGGCAACCTGGACCATGCAGGTGATTGCAACCAGTGTAAGCAGGTACAAAAGCAGGCAGGGCCGCACCATAGAAAGGGAGCCCATGAAGGACCAGATGGCACAGCAGTTGGAGCAGGAGTGGTGATGGTCAGCAAAGGAGCACTCATCATCCTTGGTGCAGTGGTAGAATATGCTTACACTGGGAACAAATATATGTGCTACAGCTGACCAGGGTCTGGCCTGAGTAGAAACACTCCCAGTTGCTGATTCAGCAAGAGGGCAGTGTCTAGGGAACTAAACATTCCTTGCATTTGCACTTCTCCAACAAGTAAGAAGTGCTTGCTCAGCTCTAGTGGGACCAGAGGGTCCTTGAGATCCAGCAGCTTACAGTGGACCACCTTAGGCTGGAGGCGCACAGCCCTGGGCAAGGCTTGCTCAGGCATGGACAGTGGGACCACATGACCTAGGAGCTGCTGGTCAGAAGAGGTGCTGGTGCTGCTGCTCACAGAGCTGGGGTGCCCACTGAAGGAGATCCAGTGATGGGTGACATCCTGGTCACAGTGGGCAGGTGTCAGGGCCAGCTCTGGAGCCCTACTTGGGGATGTTTGGGGCCAGTGGGGGGCAGTAGGCCAAGGGTGGCCTATGCAATCATTCTTTGAACAGCTGATCTTCAATCAGCTAGCGAGAAGAATGGAGAGTAGGTACTAGAGCAGGCTATGGGGATCCAGCTATCAAGAAGGGGATGCACCATGACAGCTAGGAGTCAAAGGGACACTGAGGGATTGGGGGCTCCAAGGAATTGAAGGCTCTAGACTGCTCTGCGAAACAGGCTTTTAAGGGCCTTTAAAAAAAAAATTATTTATTTATTTGGTACAGGGTCTCACTATGCAGGGGCCAGCATAGCATGCAATGCCGGGGATCGAGCCTGGGTCCTTGCACTTGTCAGGCAGGTGCTTAGTCTGCTGAGCTATCTTCCCAGCCCAAGGGGCCTTTGAGGAGCTGCAAAGTCACAAGTATTGCTTCTAGTCTGTGTAAATTCCTGACCTTTAAATACCCTTGTACTCTCTCGCAGTCACTAGCCAGAGAAAGCCACCAAGTCCCAGCATGCTGCAGTACCAGCTCCATGCTGTGAGCTCCACTTGCTGCCTCAGCAGCAATGTTGCAACTCAGACACAGAGCTTTTGCAAGTGGGAAGGAGATCGAGGGGTGGAAGGAGAACACAGGCTGCCATCATTAGAGACCTCATACCTAATTCTCTCAGGGCTCTGGATGTTCATGTTAGCCTGTCATTACCTTATTCTTTCTTTTCAGCCTTTTTTTTCCCTCTAGTACCAGGAATTGAACCCAGGGCCTCATGCTTACCAGGCGAGCACTGTGCCACTGAGCTACATCCCAGGCCCTATTGCCTTATTCTTTCTTAAGGTTTACTGTGTTTATCTTTAACTTGCAGCTCAGACTCATAGTGACCCTCCTGTCTCAGCCTGCCCAGCACTGGGATTACAGGTGTGCACCACCACACCCAGTTTCAGCAGCCAGCTTGGCACAGGGCCAGCACAGCATGCAGTACCATAAATTGAACCTGGGTCCTTGTGCTCGCCTCCCTAGCCCTTTTGCTCTGTTTTTATTAGTGTCCTTATGACTTCCATTTCTTCAAACTTTTCCTCTGGGTTTTGAGATCTTTCTTTTGTTTTATCAGGTAAGTTGCTCCTTTTGTTTTTGACAGTTTTCAATGGCTTCCATCCTCTTGCCTATTAATTTTTTCCAACAATAACTTGCTGTTGCTGCGCTGTCACCAGATAGGATCCTAGATGATCCCCTTACAGAGGAGATAGAGACCTCAACCCTGAGCAGGTTCTTCT